GTGGGGCGAGGTGGGGATTCATTTTATAAGTGATCATTAGCAACTATTTTCATGTGATAGCAACTTTCGCTTCCCTGTGTACGACCTCAAGTTCAGAGGACTCACACCGTGAACCTTAGGTAATGAAAGCATCCTGTGTTGTGCGCCACCATAACTACAGTTCACTTTGTCTTCCTGCCCTCGTGGTACAGAATCTGCTCGAAGGCTGACATTTTCGGTGCTATTTGTACTCCTTGGTATTACCATGACATGATAATTCTGACTTGGCAACATATGTGCTTCTCCTAGTTAAAGGTTATTTGAAAGTGGGAGTTGTTGGTAAAAACTTAGAAAATAAAGCCACAATCACTGTGTGCTGACATATCCCTCCTTAGAACCACGTCCCCAAATCCAACCCATTGGCCAAAGGATGACACTTGATACTTACTGCAAAATTTCTCTCTGAAACAATTTTTGAAGGGAATCTGGACTATATAAAGGTTAGGATTTAAAAAAAAAAAAAAAGACAACTTCAAGCAGAAAGAATTTATCAAGAGAATTATATTAAAGATTGTGTTCCACTAGCCTGACCACCTAGTTGTTTTTAGGGATTAACCTTCTCTCCCAGCACCTTAAATTATACTAAAATTCCATGATGTAAATATCATGGGTTTTGTGTGATCATTCATCTACAAAAATATTGGCTCACCTTGATAACATAACATGGGGCCACCCTGGGCAGTTCATTGGCAATGGCCATAAACACATACCTGAGATAAAATGAGCATCTACTGTAATCAGTGATGTCAAGGAGACTGGGGGCAGATAGAGGGTAAAGGTTTGTCTCATGACTACTAACACATTGTGCCTTTTTTATCACCCTGCAAGATAGTACAGAATGAATGAAATGTTGACTACTGCCTGGCCGGTGTGGTTCAGTGGATTGAACGTCATCCCATGGACTGAGAGGTCCCAGTTCCATTTCCTGTCAGGGCACATGCCCAGGTCTAAGGCTCGATCCCCAGTAGGGGGCGTGCAGGAGGCAGCCGATTGATGTATCTCTCTCACATCGATATTTCTCTCTCTCTCTCTAAAAAAAATCAATAAAAACATATTTAAAAAAAAAAAAAAAGAAATGTCAGCTACTTTCCACTAGAAACCTTAGCTTGGAAAATTACACAATGACTAGTCTCTTTCATTCAAAGCTGCCATGGAGCTTAATAAAGACATCATCACACAAGGTTAATTAAAGCAAAATCAGTCTTCCATCAATGAGCAGAGTAAGTGTACACAGCAAGTTGACATAGTGTTCCATTTTCCCCACACTCTTTACACGCTGAACCTGGAGCTTCGTGCTCTAAGAAAAACTACATGGAAAACGTCCGTCTGAAATAAATTCGCGTAGAGGAGCATTTGGGAAGCTGCATGTGGTGAGGGAACACTAAGGGGCATGATAACTTCTCCATGGAGTGGATTCCCAGTCCCTGCAAGCAGCGAGCTGGTCAGTCCCTCTGCTGGGCACATGGTCGAGAGTGAAGGGCTGGACCACCGGCTGACCCCCCATGGCGCCCTGTCTTTTACCTGAATAGTATTTATTACTGTATAGATTGTACTTTGTTTATGTGATTCTTTGATGAATGTCTCCTTCCCGATTAGACTGTAAATATCGTGGACTGTATTTTTATAATGCTCACTCTTATATCCCCAGTGCCTAGCATGGCACCAGGAACAATAAATATCTGTTGAATGGTTTAATAAATAATAGACCAGGTTTTTCTTTTCGCTGTGGCTACGGCTCACCCGTGTCATGGGTTAAGCCAGCCAAGCTGGGAAAGGCTTGGAACAGAAGCTGTCCCAGGTACTTAGGACGAGATTTCTGTTGTCTGAGTTAGTCAAGGACAGAGAGGCAGCAAACTAGGGACTGGGGGGCACTGGTGGCATTGGGAAGGTGTGGTCCTATGGGAAGATGCAGATGAGGGGTTCAGAAGATAAACGTGCTGAGGAAACAATTCTGTTTCTAGAGGAAAACCTGCCTTTTCTATCAGCCAACGTGAACTAACTTACTTTTCCTGGTGAATTCGGTGGAGTACCTCCGGTTTGCTTTACGACGTTGCTTATTTGTGGCTTCGGGGCTCGAAGCTCCAAGTAGAAACTTAGTCCATATACTCCCCACCACACACCATTTTTGGTTATTTTAAAATGCATGCAAATTTTAACTGATCTGTGATGACACCAAGTTTGTTTTAACAGAAAAGTAATATTTTAACTTCTTACCATCACGTACGTTGAATCACCAAAGCAGGGAGCCCTGTTAATTCCGCGGGTCCCCTGCCTCTGGTGGACTGCCGGTACTTCCCGTCTGTGGATTGAAAAGCACGAGGGATGCTCTGAACACGAGCGGAGTCTCCCCGCACAGATGTTTCCCTTTTCCCAAGGAGGCCTTTGAAACTCGCTCCGAATAATGAGATGTGGGAAAACCATCAGGAAAAGTCGCCTTAATACATATACACACACACACACTCCATTTCCAGTGGCGTCCTAGAGCTGAAAATCCCCACGTGTGGAATAAAGCATGTACGTTCAGTTTGGCTGGTTTTCATGGGCTTGTAGGAAAAGGAAGCAATTCATTCCATGACTGTCGGCACAGACACGAGCTCTAACGACAGGACAGGAAAATGCTAATATTCAACTCTTTTTCCTGTTGACTTAAGAATGAGAAAAGCAACAAGAGAGAGGGAAAGTATTGATATATCAGCTGTAAATGAACTCAACAACTGCATTTTGTAGGCTACTGAATCTGAAATACACAGTTTAGTTATGAGACAATACCTAACTACCGGCATGCAGACTGGAGCAGGGTACACGGGGCCGAGAAGTCAGACAGCATGATCCGCTGAGCCCAGGGAATAAACACTGGGCTGACGGCCGCGGGGACTGGCCTCCTCCCGCACAGGTGGTTGGAAAGCATCCCACACACAGGGATTTTTGCTTGGGTTAGCTCCCCAGGGAATAGGTTCACTCTGCGAAGACAATTATGTACAGAAAAGGGTCTGATTCCATTCGCACAGCCAAACAAGGCTGTGGAAGTTCAATGTGCAGCGAGGAAAGAAAATTAAAACCTCAGAATAAAAATACTTCTCTGTTACAAATGAAGGTCACACTAGGTTAATATAAACAGTTGTTTGGTGCTTTACAAAAATAAAAGCCGAGGGCTCTGGCTGGTTTGGCTCAGGGTTAGAGCATCGTCCTGCAGACCAAAGAGTCTCAGGTTCAATTCGGGTCAAGGGCACACACCTCGCTTGTGGTTTGGTCCTCAGCCCTGGTCGGAGTCATGCAGGAGGCAGCCGATCGATGTGTCTCTCTCACATCAATGTTTCTCTTTCTCTCTCCCCCTCCCTTCCTCCCTCCCACTCTGTCTGAACATAAATGGAAAAATATTTTTGGGTGAGGATTAAAAATAGAAATTAATTAATTAATTAAAAGCTGAGGGATGATACCACGTGTGTGGACTGTCACAGTGTGAAGTTGATCATGAATCCGCAGACCCGAGTGATGGAGAATGACTCCCACATGTTCCATATACACAGAGCGCAAACCCATGGCTTCAGTGTTACGTATAAGGTTTTCTTCACATGACATACAAGTGCATTTCTTTTCTTTTTTTGTCTATACATTGGCTAAAGATTTTAAAAATCAGCTTTATATGCCAGTAAATGGAGTGTAGCACATGAATCCGTGTGATTTGCACTGAAACTTTAAGTTGTCTTGGAAGAAGCTGAGTATTGAAGCACCACACAGAGCATTCCCTACGGAAAAATGGGGACACGTTAGTTTTTGATGGAGACGATAAGACATTGGAGAAAGAGCACAGGCTTGGGTTCTGCAGATCAGGGGTGAATCCTCGGCATGACACCTGCCCAGGTGTGACCTTGGACACCATATTTAACTTCTCTGTAGAGTTCAGCCCCTAAACTGCTGGCCTATCAGGAGATTTTAACGAGATAAAGCTATAAACTGCCTGGCCCCGTGCCCGACTCATGGTAACATATGTGTTCAATAAATACCTCTTCTCTTCTGCTCCCCGTAAAACCACGCATCCACCCCTGCACACCCTACTTGTGTACACATGCACTTTCCGTAGGTGAAACCTACTTGTGGTTTTACATTGTGTTAGTGAAGAGAAATTGTTTGATATTATTCACAAACCACAGGACTAACTCTTCATCCCTAGGATGCTGATTTAAATAACAAATTATAGAACTCATAAAAAAAAAAAAACAGTTTGGTATAGATGATCACATATAAGATACAGTTATCCTAAGTGGAATTTAAGAGATTAATCCCCAGATTTTACAGATGAGAACATTGAGGCTCAAGGAGTAAGAGACTTGCCACAATGAGACTTACCGGTGGGAAACCAGGACAGGTCTCCTGGCCACCACTCACAGTGATTGGAGGATTAAGGTTCTTTGACTTGAAGACACACTGCTCAAGATCAGATCCAGGTTTTGCTCCAATCTAGATGTAAGACCTTGGGTAAGTCACTTAACTTCTCTGTCCCTCTGTATCTCGGTCTCCTTATTTACAGAATAATTACAATTACATTATCATCATTATAAAGTTATTATAAAAATGTTTAATGGAAAACAAAAGTTCCAAAATAAGAGATATCTAGAACAAAGTAAGAGCTCGGTATAGATGAGCTAGTCACATAAATCCAGTGTTTTTTCTGCTACGTGCTTCTCCCTGGACAACAGTAAACGCTTAAATTTTTCAGAAATACAACCTGAGCATTCTGTCCTGAGGACTAATATTAGTCTTTGATGTTTCCATTTTTTTCATTCTCCGATTTGCCTCAGTCTCCTAAATATACTTGCCCAAGACCTCGTCCTGTGTACCATGGCAGATCATGTCTCTCTTTTTGGATGGGGAAAGTGTCTGTCTGCTCTTTGTAAGAATACATGTGAGCTCTGCAAAGCGTTTCACAGACGCTCACGGTGTCGCTGTTGCTGTCACCCTAGGAACAGACTTCACCCTCGCGGAGCTGGGGATCTGTGAGCCCTCCCCGCACCGAAGCGGCTACTGTTCCGACATGGGGATCCTCCACCAGGGCTACTCGCTGAGCACGGGATCCGATGCCGACTCGGACACCGAGGGAGGGATGTCTCCAGAACACGCCATCCGACTGTGGGGACGAGGGATAAAGTCCCGGCGCAGTTCCGGCCTGTCCAGTCGGGAAAACTCAGCCCTCACGCTGACTGATTCTGACAACGAGAATAAGTCAGATGATGAGAACGGTAGGCCTGCTTCTTCTCTGCCTTTTCCTGTTCTGGGGCCGCGCTGTGGGCTTTGGGGCATTTTTATTTTCGTAATAAAGAGGCATCTAAAACCATTCCTTTCCTTTTAAATGGACTCTGTCCACCCGCTCTGAGCTGGGGGAGGGTACACCAGGCAACCTCACACTGCAGGAAGTGAGCGAGTCTGCAAAACGCATGTTGGTGACAGTCGGTTGGTCTTATTAGCAAGTCAATGACCTTGCCAAAGAGGAAACTGATGAACTTCAACCTGTGCCTACAAAAACGTCTTGTCACCCAAAGTTTCTAGGTCTTTGTATTGCTTTTCCCCTCCCGGTAAATGGCAGGTGGCGTTATTTATTTATTTTTCATGAAGATCTCTGTAGAATCCTACCTTCTCTGAGACTTGCATCTCCAGGCGCAATGCCTTGTATCTGTGTTGAAGATCAGCCTGGGAACAGATGCCCTGGAGTTTAATCATGACCAATAGGAAGGGCCTTGTCATCCCCAAAGTGTTATGGTTTCTGCTTACTTTTCTCTTCTGTCCCTATGTAGCTTAATAACTTCCCATGTCTTCTGTCAAAGATCACTGTTGCTTATCCATCAGCTTTGTGGATGGGCTTTAAGGAAACTTTGAAAATTAAATGCTTCCGATCATTAAGCTGTAAATATAGGGAAGCCCAAGAAAGTCATTGAAGAGAAAGGGTGCTTATTTGTGGATTTCTCAGCGACTCATAACTGTCGTCAGTCCAAAACATTCTTTAAAAGAGAAATTGTGTTAGGTGCAGTTGATTCATGAAGGAAACATCACATGCTATGTGGGTTTGTTATGAATACTTGTGTGCTTGCTAAAAGAATTGCCATTAAAATGTTAAAAGTAGATCAGTTAAGGGTGTTTGTATAAAATACTATAAACTTCTACTAGAGTGAGCAGCTTTTTTTTTTTTTTTTTTTTTTTTGGTACATGTCCCTAGCTGCTAGGGCCCGGCGGGAACTGAACCCAGGACTCTCTGGTCCGCAGGCCAATGCTCCAACCACTGAGCCAAACTGGCCAGGGCTAGAGTAGCTTTAAGTATTTTCTTGCATTGGAAAGAAAAAGAAAAAGAAATTTGCAGGTGGGCAGCTTGGTGTGAATGGAAAAGCATAGCTAAATATTACTGCATCTCAAAACTTGAAAATACATCATTTCCTGGGTATGTTGCGTGTTTTCAAAAAGATGTCACTTTGTTGCATTTAACCTTAGGTTTAATTCTGAAATACTTTATTCCACTGTGGGGACGAGGGGACGTGCCTTAATTATGCCTTCGTTCATGTAGCAAATCAAGGTGGACTCTCAAGGAAAAATCTACACTTGACTCTTTTCAAATCCTAACAAAATTCTGACTCTTGGCTCATTCAACTCCAAGGTGCTTCGTTGATAAGAAATTATTTTCAGAAGTTTTCAGAAAGGCATACATTGAATTCATTTACCAATGTCCTTTTTCAGCTTCAATGGGTGTCAGATACAATTTCAACAGAGGCAGTTTCAATGGGTGTCAATACAATCCCTTGTAATCCAAGAACTTAAGGAACACTTTTAAACAAAGTATTTTAGCAAATCTTCCGTGGTTAGTATTCTCGCCGATCTACACAGAATTATTTATACATACTTATGGAGTCTGCACCCTCTCTTTTTAAGCTATACGAATCCTTAAAAACTCAACGAATTAAGGAAGGTTTCCATGCACCAAGGGAACCAAAAATTCTTGCCTTGATTTACCCAGAACTGTTATAATTAATGATGTGCTTGGTAGACCAATAGTAGTCTCTCTTGTTCAGCACTGTTTGAAACATCACATTTGAATGATTTTCACTTTGGGAGAGCACTTGTAAATCCCTGTACACTAATAGGAAATAAACCCTTAGACATAGTGTCATTTTTTTCTCCTGTAATACTATTTATGATGCAGTCAGAATTGCATAAAGAAAAATGTGCTTAGAAGTACTAAGCGACCCTTTTATGCCTGCGTCTGGCAGAGTACGAAGAGGTAATGTAGCCAGAGTTCAAGCTTAGGGGATGAATGATTTTTATTTATTTTAAATATGTGTTATTGGTATTTTAGAGAGGGAGGGGGAGAGAGAGAGAAACATGGATGCAAGAGAGAAGCATTGATCGACTGCCTCCTGCACGCCCCCTACTGGGGATCAAGCCTGAAACCTGGGCATGTGCCCTGACCTGGAATCAAACCGGAACCTCTCGGTCCATGGGATGATGTTCAATCCTCTGAGCCACACCGACTGGGTGGCTAGTTTAAAATGTACAGATAGAATGTGTTTTCTTTCCTCTCTTTAAAATGGTTCAGTATTCCATCTATTCAAAAGATGTACATCATACATGTTCTGTTCTCATAAGACCCTGCGCACATCCCATCATAAACTCTTTAAGCAAAAGCAACGAGGCAGAAGCTGCTCTGCAGACCGAGGTGTTACCTTCAGCAAACTTCTTGATCTTCCTCTTCGACGAATTCTGTGTAGCTCACGGAGAAATCAATGCATTTTCACATCACTGATTTTATGAAGTTTGGGAATGTATTATCATATAGATTGACAGTTGCCTCCCCGGTTCCACACCACAGCATGGATACTGACGAAGCCCTCGTTAATTCCCTCACACTCCTGCCGCCTCGCCTTCCTCCATCACAAACACTCTGTCCTTCAGAACCGGATCAATAACCTTTTAGCTATGCCTCTCTTGAACAGGAAGCAACAAGGATCTATACCTGGAAAAAGAAGCTCTCCAGTTCCATTTCAGATTTTGAGGACAGGTGGTCGTAAGATGAGTATTTTCTTTGGATCCCATCTACTTATATTGCATTTTTATGGCAGGGTCTTGGGGTACCTCGAGATGTACAGTACTTATTTTAAATCACCCTTAAAGAATTCCTAGTGTGGTTTTACTACACCTAGGTAGAAAGTGAAGACAGATCTCGAAAACCAACTTCTTTCTATACTATGAAATATAGATCCAACCTTCAAACCCATGCGGTAAGTTTCCCAGCTGCCCGCAGGTCTTCCTGAAGGCTGCTGGGACAAAAAGGACCCGCTGGTAACTCGGAAGTCCTGTGTCACTGAACACACAGATAGTTTTGCCTTGTTCTGTCTTTTTTTGTCCAGCATCGACATTCCTGAGTTATCACCCTGCACAGCTTGCATCTTGAGCTCACGGCTGGACCACTAGAGGAACACTGGGCGGCTCGGGTTTCTTTCGACAGATAAAACTCAGGTTCAGGCTGTTTTATCAGGTTCTTTAACTCTGTCTTTAAGGTGACGACGGCTTGGTTAGAAATGGCAATTTCTGCTTGGTTGAGAGTAGCTCAGCGAGGTTGCCGAAGTGACATTTGACTGCGTCTAAAGAAAGGGCTTGTCCCGGTGACTTTAAATTAGAAACGTTCCTTTTTTGGGTAATAAATGTTCCACTTAAAATATATCTTCTCCGAGGCCTTTTGTATCACCTGAGTTATGGAGAAAATGGGGCAGTCACTGGTACACAAGAATAACTAATTGCCTTCTTAAAAATGCGGAGAAGCACACACTATAAAAACTCGGGGCTGTGTACCCTTGGCTCCCTTAGGCAGTTTCTCCACCTTGGGGACTTAAAAATATCCTTGAGGGTTTTTTTTTTTTTTTTTTTGGTATGTGTGTGTGTTTTTTTCTTTCTCCCAGCATAATTCTGGTTTCAGTTATTTTATTGGAAATCCAGGAAGAAAAAAAAAAAGACAAAGAAAATAAGCTTGGCTATGGGATAGGGAGCCAGACATGGCAAAAAACGAAATCTGGCCTTGGTTAAAGCTGTGAAAAAATGATCCTTCCTTTCTCCTCTCCATTTCCATCCAAGGTAAATAAGGAAGCACACTGTTCATTTTCATCTGCTGTCAATTGGGAAATTTATAATTCTCATAATGTACCTTGAGGTTGAAACTCTAAATGTTGGGTTAATTCCATTGCATTTCACAAAACGCATTTATAAAACAAGCTGGGGCTCAGCACATCATGGATTTGTGTAAAGTGTGTTTGTGGAACGTAGACTCTGCTAGCCCGTGAGTCCCCTCGGCAGGTCTGCGGTGCTCCTGTGTCTTTGGAGGGCTGGAGCTCCCCGGGTACTGACTGCATGCTCACTGGGACAGGAGACAGCCACCCTGAGGCAGGAAGGATGTTCCTCAGGACAGAGACAGTGTCCATGGGTTACCGTTCACCCCACTGCGTTCCTTTCTCATGCGAGGTGTGTTTGTTCCTCTCTTCAAAATGTGGCTTCTCCGTGAATTTCACGTTGGAGAGTCTTACAGTAAACACATCCAAGACCTTGGGTCTCTGCCCTTTCCTGCTGCCCCTGCATGAGCCCTGGCCTCTTCCTCCCCCACCCGCGTCCATACCTGACAGAGAACGCCTGGAACCCGCGTCAGGGCTGACTGTGAGCACCAGGTGATTGCAGCCCAGGACTCATCATTCTGCCTTTCAAGTTGGAAGTAAGGATAGTAAAACAGTGGCTGTAGAAACCGTGCGGGAAGAGTGGACTGGCCTCTTGATGTCGGCGTGCGAATGATATCTTTTCCAGCCAAACGTGGTGGGAAAAGCGTGCAGGGGACCTGAAGGAAGGGGGACCTCCATTCCTTAAATACAAAGCGGAAAACATGAAAGACAACAAAACGGACTTGAAATCCATGGCAATTCTTTCAAATTCTGTTCCTAAGCTTTTTTTTTTTATACTTGAAAATTCAAAGGAGTGACATTTATAAAGAAGAATGTAAAATGAGTTCTCATGGAATGAAAAAAAGACACGAGAACAGAATGTCACAGGTTCCCAGTCTTGTCTGCTCCTAAAGCAGCAGTTCTCAACCTGTGGGTCGCGACCCCCTGGGGGGTCGAACGACCCTTTCAAGGGGTCGCCTAAGACATAGCAGTAGCAAGAGTACAGTTAGGAGGTAGCAACAAAAATAATTTTACGGTTGGGGTTCAGCACAACACGA